GCTTTAAAGATCCTGAAAGAGTTTCAAGTTTTAATCAAGAGTAAAACCTGTAATTTATCACTAGCACACGACTTAAGGTTTGCAACCTATCGTGTTGACATAATTCTTATTTCTGTACCTACTTCAAATAAGTTGAATTTGCATGTGAGTTATCATAGTTCAACTTGGAAGAATTGGTGGCCCTTGTGCTACCAAGGTGACAAGAAACTAAGATTGAACAAGTTTAATCCATGTAAGGCAGGATTTGTCACTAACCTTATCTTGTAATTATGGTTTTGAAAAATTCACATGGATAGGAACTTATACACTATAAAATCTAACTGTCGTAAGGTTTCTCTCCGATTCATGAAAATTATGGTGAGGAAACGCTTTCACTAAGTAGATTTTACGTAGATAGCAATTATGTTATTTGCATTTTCAAAAATCGTTAGTGGAGCGTGTGTGGTTAACCGACACACTAACATGGACTTGTGAGAAATGGAAAATGCCTAATCAATTGAGACTATGATTACGGCATCCCTTTTCATAGTTCTGAAAATTGTTTAGACACACATGGGAGCTATCTAAGAAAGGGTGTATGAATCTAAATTTCAGAAGTCCAGTACATTTCTGTAAATATGTCAGAGCTAGTGGGAGCATAAGTGTTATGCTGATAATCATCATGTTAGTGAGAGCATGATTATTACGTTTAGTATTGCAAGTTAGAAATGTTAGTTATAGAAAACAAAGTTTCAATTCGTGATGTTGCAGGGGTTGAAAAGTTGTTTTACTATAATTAAGGGAGAGGAAATTATACTTCATTTCAATTCTAAAGCTTAGATTGAGATTTTAATAATCTTTAGTCAAGAATATATATATATGAATCTTATGTTGGAATGGTTCAACTTGAAGAAATTCTATATATATTGCGTTTTCAAAATTCGATTATGATTACGGCATCCCTCTTCATAGTTAAATTTTGAAAACATGGCAAATAAAAAATATTGTAGCAAAAGACTGATCTAGTATCATGTCTTTATGTCAAACATCATGAATCGTGTCCCATATGCTTTGGATATAGGATCGATTGCATGTGCTATAATATTCATCTTTTCTAAATTTTCCAAATGCTTAAGGCATTGAGAAGGGAAAAGTCTAGAACTGGATATGACTAAAGTGATTAAGCAATTGTCGAGGACAATCTGAGGTTCGCCAAAGATTGGTTGCTCAGGGAAAGTTTGAAGTATGATGTAAGTTGTCGGAAAGGACCGTATTGACATGTTCTGAAAAGAAGTAAATCTTGTTCGGAAGTGATAGTCAAAATGGGACTATGGAAATATCTCCATAGATGGAAGTTATTCAATCTATGTAAGATTAGAAAGCCTTAATGCAAGAAGGATGTTCAAAGCAATGTACTTTGAATATGAGACTTCCGTTCCATAGAAGTTGACCTTCTTTGGAATACTCTGTAATGACTGGTGACAAGGTTTTTGTGACTTTGTGAATAATCATTACAAGAGGAACATTGCATAAAAGTTTAAAATCTAACAGTTTTTTTTTGGTAAATGATAGGAATCGGGGATTCTCACATTTACAATAAGGATTTGGGATTGTGAAATGAGTATCATTGGAGTCATGTTCAATTGATCTACATCACAATGTAAGGATCATAGACAAATATAGTGTGCATACTTGGAGTATGGCATAACTATTGTTAGAAAAACAAAGTGTACATGCAAGGAGCATGGGACGACTGTTGTTTTATTCAAGTCTTAAGTTGATTGTTTGAAACAGTATACAATGAATAACGTGTAATCAATATGGTGATAAGTAAAAGGTGGTTCTATTTATATTCAAAAGGGTTCTGAGACCATATTAGATTCGATTATAATTTTGTTTCACTTTGCATGTTTTGACTTCCAAAATAGCTAGGTTATTCTTTCCGAATGACTAAGTTATTTAAACACTCCACAGTCGTTCATATGTTGGAAGTAGGTATGAATCAAGACTATCATGAATCGAGTTTGTAGATGGCTAAATGGGTTTAGTCATAGCAATGGTTGCTACAACATTCATGAGTGCTCATAAGTTATGAGTATTGGAATAAACCCATGCTCACTTGTATCACTTCATGGAATTTATCTCGAGTGATCGTGAGACTGTAATATTATATAAATCTTCAAACCTAGAGATATGAGTTGTTACCTATGAGTTGCTTGTGTATTGATTGCATGTAAACGCATCAGTAACATGATGTTATAAAACATGCCTTTGTGTACAATTCAACAAGTAGTAGAACAAGCATATGAGTCGAAGTTTATCTATTCCTTCTAGAAATAGAAGCGATATCTGGTCCCCTCGATGATGTTGTTGTGACCTATGTACCGGCCGGTCAGAACTAAATTGATGTGTTCGATTAAGTTCTTTGTCAAACCAATCGAAAATCGGGAAACAAACTGCTGGACAATAAGTACGACGTTGTTCCATGTATTTGTTCGGCTGATATCATGAGAACAGAGGATTATACGATCACTTATCTAAAATGGCGCTTCATAGTTCAACAGAGTTTTCAAGAGCTACGATTGCTGGTTGGTTCCTGAAGTAACATACGCAAATATAGTTATTAGACTTATCCAAGTGGGAGTCTGTTGGATAAGGTTTCTAAGTCCATAACTTATTTGGTACATACTTGACCCGACCCGACATGGTCCATTTGGGTTGCATTTCATCCAAACTATTTATGGATAATTTTATGAGAGTTATACACATATGTCTATTAATATATTGTAAGTTATAATATATTAATATGAAGTTATTTAATTAGTGTTAGTCTTAAATAAATTATGAATTAATTTATAGATTAAAAGGAAGACTAATTAAATTGTGGGCTATTATATTTTATATAGTGTGGGCTAATACTCATTTGTTAATGGGCTAAGCTAATATGGAAGTCCATGGATGATCCATGGAGCTTTTAACCCATGGATCCTTGGAAAGGAAAAGACATGGGTTATTAGGGTTTCACCCTAACCATGCACACTATATAAGCATGCTTATGTTGCATGAAATGGCTAACTAGTATGTGTGTTTGTGTGTGGCCAATTTTATAAGTGTGTATACACTTTCTCAAAGTTTTCCAAGATTTTGTGGTGATTTGTTATTCCATTTAAGGCATTCACACTATTGGTTCTTGGCCTTCAAACTCCATAGGAATCAAACTCATCATCAAAAGGTATGTAATCTCATCTAATTCTTTTATGATTAAAAGTACCCCATGCCATGTTAGATAGGTTATGAACCTTGGAAAATTATTATTTTGCATGTATTTAGACAAACATGGATTCAAGGTTTCTTAGGGTTGCATGCAAACTTAGGAAGTGTTAGATTGCTCAAAACCCAAAAAATTGAACATTAGTTAGTGCCAAGCACTCATAATAATTCTTAATGTAAATCTTGACGTGAGCTACCCCAAGCTTGAATTCATCAGGTTCAATATTTTGAAGAGACGAAAAAGATTTATCTTTCAAAATCAATGCAGCTTGTATAAGATCATACAAGTTCATTAATGGAAAATCTGCAATTATGAAATCACAAATATTTCCATTTTCCCTGGCCACAACATATTTGATGTTTTGGACTGTGTTTTCAAATACCACATCCTTCTTTATACTAATCACCTTCTTAATTTTCACCAGTGACTAGACTTCCTCAACAGATTTGGCAAGAACAACATGAAATCAAATCTTCATGTGAGTACCTTCATCCTTTACTTTGAAATTTCCTTCTGCTTTGAATTGAGGCATGATAAACATCATCTCATTCACTGGAAGTCTACCTGGCTTACATCAGTATTCGTTACAACAAAGCTCTGCTTCGGTTTCTTTTCGAACAAATACATATGATTGTATGCAACATTGGCTTCGATTGTTCCATAATTTTAATGTTTGGATTGATCACCTTTCTCCAAACCTGGAGGATCACTTGCATGCTGTGTCATAATGTTTTGAATTAATCTCAGCTTTTCTTTCAGCTTCAGCTTTAGCTTTCTTTTCCTCCTTTGTCTTTTCCACAACAATGGTTTTTCCTTTATCTTTCAAAGCTTCATTTGTCACCTTAGACTTCGTATTAATCCTACTCGCAGACTCACCAATAACAATTCCTTTCAAGATAGGCCTTGAAATTGGCATGGAAGTGACCACTGTTGAAATAACTGGCCCAACAGATGATAATATTGCCTTTATTGTTGGGATCTTCATAGAAAACACCTTTCCCATAACTTTTTCATTTGTATGCGAAGCATCACCAACAACCTTTCTTTCTCCCCCTTGCACCCCTGTAGAAATAGGTGGCGCATTTTTTGTTGGTAGAAGGCTTGATATTCTTGAAAGAGGGGCCAGTTGCTTATGGAGAATAGCTTCAAATTGTATGAATTTTTGAGACGAAAATTCAAGAGTTATTAGAGAAGCCGAAACTAGAATTGGTAGATAACTCTTTAAGCTCCTTCAGCAAATTTATGATTTCTAGAAAATTTTGACTTTCCGTTGTAGAAAGTTGAGTAAGTTGAGGACTCATTCTTTCGTACAACTTGACAAATCTTGTTACAGCATCACAAATAATATCAACCTTTTGATGCAAAGATGCATAATCTTGTTGGACACTTCCAATCTCTTTTTGCATATCTTCGCGAAGCTTTCGAATCTGTAAATTGAAATCCTCACGAACTTTCTTAACATCTTGAACGAAAAAAAATATATCTCTCTTTAGCCAAGCTCATCAAATCTTTAACTTCTCCTAAAAATGTCGAATATTGAGATTTCACCCTCAGATCATTGTTTTGATCATTATGATCAACCTTCTCCAAAATTCTCGATTTTGAGTCTCTAACCATTCCAGAGACTTTACTCACTACTCTAGCTTCGAACATTTTTAACATTGTATCAACTTCCAAACTTGAAACAGAAGAAACACCCCCTAGATCAGCTTGAGATTGAAGTATGGAACTCAACTTCGTATTAAAAATCTTAAACTGTTTCATCGTCATCAGCATATGATCTGTAAAATCTTCTTCAGCATCATCAAACTCCAATTCCTCAAAGGTTCCTCCAAAACCCTCATTGTCAATATCAGTTTCCATAAAACTTGAGTCTTTACCAGGGGAATTGGTTTTGGATGGATCAGTGGATTGAAAAGAAAAAATGGAAGTAAATGGTTGATTGATTATATTTTCGAATGTGGGTGGGTCTGTGGTTGAAGTAAAAGGTGTAATTGGTGTGATTTGTGGAGGTAACGAAACAAGAGAATCAATATTACCTTGAGCTGCTGTCTTTGATTCTCCATCACCCATGCTGACATTTACATCCGTATGAGATACATTTGCATTGATGTCTAAATTTCGTGCCTCCTTATGAAATAACTTGGCAGACGAATCTTTGGGTGATATGACCATTGTCTGCTCAGGAGTCAAACTTTCCTTTGTAAGTTTTACTTCAGGTGTTTCAGGAATGTGTTCATCTTCATCTTCTGTGGATTCAGTGGTGATAAAAAGTTTGTGTGACTTCTTCTTCTCCCTTTGAGAAATCTGTTTGGCCATATCTTCAGCCATGCGTTTTTTAGACAATGGAGAAACTGGAGCCGGTATTTCGTGAATAAGAACTTGATGAGTAACATGATGTTTTCATACAAAATTAAGAGTCGGAGACTTTCGTATATGTTTAGACTTCATATTTATTCTTCGAAACACAGAAGTCTTCGAAGGAATAACCACTTTCTCTTGAGAATCTTCCATAACAGGCTCAATCAGAATAGACACAACAACAAATCCTTCATTTACAACTTTAACTTCACTAGGCTTGTTCTTTGGAGACTTCTTTGATGTAGTGTCAGAAACAAGTTTTTCAAAAGAACCTGATTCATTCTTCTTCGATCGTTTGGACTTCTTCTCTTCCTTTAACAATAATATCCCTATTTGAACATTAGGATCAATATTTTTCAAATAAGCCACTAAAACAACGTTCGTAGGATCAACACACCTCAACATAGCATCAGGAATACGAGCAACAAATGGAAAATTTGTCTGCATCATCAGTCATATTCTTTGGATAATTATACGTACCAAATACAGCCATCTCCTCCTCAGCATCCACCAATATCCCTTCCTTATTATAAAAGTAATATAAAATCAAACTCCAATACCGTGCACACGAAATGACTTGAATTGTATTTGTGTTTGCAAATACTCTTTTGGAATTCCTTCCAAAGTTGTGTAAATACTCCACCTGATTATCATAGTATAGCCCAGAAACCATGGCATATACTTCCATCCATTCTTTATCAAGTCCAACAGTTCCACTAGTCAAACATCGCAGACAAATTCCAAAGAGGAAGTTCCATATATTAGGAAGACCAGATTTCTCACTGATCTTAGTGAGTTGGGGTTAATGACCCATCTCATTGAACATATGTACAATTTGGGGAAATTGCAGATTAATGTAGGGTGGAGAGTTTGGGATTTCCAGTATTTGACAAAAGAGCTTCTTGGATAGTCTAACCTTCTTATCGTTCACCAAATTGATTGTGATGAAATCCAAAGCTTTATTGTAAGTAGCAGTTGATCCTGCTTGAGATAACCAAGAAAGAGGAACATCAAAAGATCGGAACATAGCCTTGGATAGAATTGAACTCTGTAAAGCAACAATCAATATTTGAGTTCTTCCGGATATGTAGAAACACCAGCCTCCACTTGGTAGTTGTTTCCTTGAATCTTCATTATTGGCAATGAAGTCACATCTTCAGTATTTTGAGAAGGGCATCAGGATTAGCAGAAGTCGCCATTTTTAGGGTTTGAAAGCTATGAAGATCAGAGAGAATTTTGAAAATTTTCTTCTGAATGCGTAAACTATTAATAGATCCTTGTATCCCCTTTTATTTGTAACCCTTAAGTTTGAATATTAAGCAAGATAATCATTTAATGATATCCTACGTGGCACCTTGAAATCCGCACCATGATGATGATAAAGTAGCCATGCGAAAAAGTAACTGTCACATTTCCTCAAAACCCGGACAGAATACAAAACGTCCCATCAAACAGGCTGTTTTGTTAGCCCCAACATAGAAGCTCTTTTACTTTTGGGTTTGAAAGTAAAGTCATTTGCCAGACTTTTGAAATCATCAGCCTAAGTTGGTCTTACTCAGAACCTCAAGGATTCCGTGAGTGCAGTGTGCCAAAGAAAAAGATAAGAACCAAATAAAAATAAACTTTGGACCTGTGATGTCAAAAATATTTTGACACGAAAGTAGTTAAACTCCGGGCAAAAGTTTCTTCTTTAATTATCAAGAGAGATAATCAACTGCTTGTGTGGTTTCCCGTGAATTACAATCAAATACTTTTAAAGAAGTATAGAAGGGCTTCTTTTATTAGGCTTCATGGGTAGTTATAAGAATTTCGTTATATATCAACTTAAACATAAGGTGAGAAATTGTAACAAAAATTACTTGTGTGACTAGTGTAGTCAGTCACAAGTTTGCTTTGGCAAAATATTTTATTTGATGTTTAATTTCGAATAAAACTCACACGAAAATCATATTTATGAAAAAAAAATTGTGCTGGATCTTCTAAGGTAACAAACATCATAGGGTTCGAATGTTTGATCAAGACCACTCATACGAATTGAATATGATTTGGAGTTTTGAATTTAAGTACTGAAACAAATGTTTTGTGAAAATCTGGAACTTAGTTCCCCGTTAATTCCTTAAAAGTTTAGAGAATTGGGTTTCACTTTCATCACGGTCTCATGATGTCAGATCATAAACATAGATTTTTGATATGTCTAAGTCTTGATTTGTTTGATCATAAACCTCTTGGAAATATTTCTTCGTGTGTGATCATGTAAGAACTTTCAGATGAAAAAGATTGGTTTAAGACAAGAAATGTACCTCTATTATATTTGGACAAAATAGTAAACTCTTAACTCATGTGAGAAGAGTCAGGTAGCTCAGGAGACTAATATGAATACAAACCTGATTGGGAAGAAATTTTCGTATGAAAAATTTTATTAAGGCTTTCGTACACACATATTGAGTCATTTGAGGCTTTGGTCAACATGCTACAGCATGCTTCTAGGGACAACTTAACTAGTTCAAAGTATTCGAAAAATTACCTGACCCTAGAACTGCAAGCATTCCTCAAGATGAATCATCATGAATATCTACAACAAAATACTACTAAAAAAATAAAAACAAAATATTTTTGTTGTTTTTTGATTTTTCGAAAATAAAGAAGAAAATCTTTTTGATTTTTGATTTTTCGAAAAATAAATGACAAAACAAACGAAAAATCTTTTTGAATTTTTATGTTTTTTGAAAATAAAAGACAAAACAAATGAAAAATCTTTTTGGATTTTTATGTTTTCGAAAATAAAATGACAAACCAAATATACTTGTTGCAAACACACTAAATTTCATCAACCCCAAATAAATGACAAATTTACGAATTCGAAGGGGTCGAAGCGTTGACTATGAATAGTAACCTGTGAATACTGAATGAGAATATGTTATCTTTTATTCAGTGCCTCTGAATCATTCCTGATCAACCTTCATTCTTCCTTTTTGCATGGAACAAAATTACCATCGATCATTCCAAGTCTTAAAATTCTTACAAAGGATTTTTCATCTAAAGGTTTCGTGAAAATATTAGCTAACTGATCAGTTGTTTTCACAAAATGCACTTCAATATTTCCATCCTCCACATGATCCTTGATGAAATGATAACGAAGACTTATATGCTCAGTCTTCGAATATTGCACAAGATTGTGACAAATTCTTATTCTACTTTGAGAATCCCAATATAATGGAATGTTTTTCATATTAATTGCATAATCATGTAATTGACTTTAAATCCATATAATTTGTGATGTGCAAGCAGCAGCAGCCACATATTCTGCTACAACAATTGAAATTTATACACATGTTTGCTTTTTCAACTGCCAGCTCACCAATTTTCCATCAAGCAATTGACATCCGCCACTTGTGCTTTTTCTATCAAGATTACAACCACCCAAATCTGCATCCGAATAATCTTGAATAAATAATCCAGTTTTCGAAGGATACCACAATCCTATCGAAATTGTTCCCTTGAGATAACGAAAGATATTCTTCACAACATTAAGATGTGGTTCTTGTGGATTTGACTGATACCTAGCACAATTACACACATAGAACATGATATCAGGTCTACTAGCAGTAAAATAAAGTAATGAACCAATCATGTTCCTGTAAAGAGTTAGGCCAACAACAAGTTTATCTAATGAAGGTGTCAGCTTTATGTCAGTTGCCATAGGAACTCGTAACTTTGTGCTATATGTCAATCCAAACTTCTCTAGAAGATTCTTCATATATTTTTCTTGGTTTATAAAAACTCCTTCTCTGTTTTGATGAATATTCAAACCAAGAAAATTATTGATTTTTCTCATCATGCTCATTTCAAACTTACTTTTCATAAGATCTTCGAATTCTCTGGACAAGGCATGGTCAGTTGAGCCAAAAATAATATCATCAACATAAATTTCAAAAAGCATTAGATGATTCCCAAATTTCTTACGAAATAACGTGGGGTCAACCGATCCTTGTTTAAATTTAGATTGCTTTAAAAAAGATGTAAGAGTTGCATACCATGCTCATGGTGCTTGTTTTAACCCATAAACAGCCTTATCTAAGATATATACATGATCAGGATGTTCTTCGTTAATAAAACCTAGGGGTTGTTCCACGTAAACTGTTTATTCAAGCTCTCCATTTAAAAATGCACACTTCACATCCATTTGATAAACATCAAAGTCTTTGTGATCTGCAAATGCCAGAAATATACGAACAACCTCGAGTCTTGCGACAGGGGAAAAAGTTTCTTCATATTCAATTCCTTCTTGTTGTGAATATCCTTTTACAATAAGTCTAGCTTTGTTTTGTATGATATTTCCATCTTTGTCGGTTTTGTTTTTGAAAATCTATTTTAACCCAACAATTGAAACATTTTCAGGTTTAGGAATTAATCTCCAAATCTTGTTTCATTGAAATTCAAATATTCAGATTGCATTGCAACAACCTGATTTGAGTGTTCCATTGCAACCTTAACTGTCTTTGGGTTAATTTTAGAGATGAAAACATTGAACATAAAAAATTCTTGATGAGTATTCAATACCTCATTCTTTGCACGAATTTGTGCTCTTGTTAATACTCCCTCTTGTGGATTCCCTATTATTTGATCCTTCGGATGATCTTTTGTCCATTTTTCCATAGGAGGATGATCTGGATCAAAATCCAAAGGTGTGTCTTCGAATAGATTATCATTCTCTGAACCTGCAATTGAACATTCATCATTAACATCATTAATATTTTCATTATTTCATGAATGCTCCCCATCAACATGATGATTCTCCCCCTCAACATCAGCATCCAATCTTTTATTCTACCCCTCGAAAGAATGCTCCCCCTCAACTAGAGTATTCAAATCCATGTGCTCCCCCTCCACTGGATTATTTTGCATACTTTCGCCTGTTTCTTGAGGATGTAATGTTAAATCATCATTAAGCTTCGTTAGTTAATTGATAT